GTGCATTGTGTTAGAGGAAAAGTCGACAGCAACTATGTGACAAGCCTAGAGTGTAGTCTCCAGTTTCCTTCATACATAGCAGCACTCATTTATCAACTGTGAAAAGAGGAAAGGCGAACGATGCCGACCAGGGTTCGCATCCGGTATTTGGTGGTCCTGAAGACGAAGACGAACGCTCAATCGACTGAGCAACCCCCGGCTTCTCGAGTCACCGGTTTACATGCTGAAAATTTTACCTCCACAAACCAGTATCCGTGCATACATACAAAGGCCGCTGTTTATGCGTGCTTGTCCGATTATATTTACAAATGCAAGTACCCGGACATGATCGAGAATCTCAGTGAGACCAGCATTTTGAGTCTGAGCGGTCAACGACAATTTGCACTTCGTTCTGTATCTAGTGAACCATGCTTTGATCACACCGCGCACCCGATCCAACAACTCGCTTTCGAAATAAGGGTCAAAAGTTCAACAGTTAGTCCAAGAGCCATTAACTCAACAGCGACTGCATTTTTAACAGATTCTATTGACCACTGTCCATTTCACTGTCAGACCACCGAATTGTAGATGTTTAGTGGCAGATGTTTCTAGCAGCTCGTTCAACTCACGTCACGAAACTAAACACTAAACTATACTCTACTCAACTATTTCGTTCTCGATCCTCTGAAAGTATTGTAGAAATATATGCTGCGCTCAATTTTAAAGATTGATGACCAAAAAACCAAAAAAGTTTTTCTGCAAAAAAAGATTGCAATTAACTGCAGTTGCAAATAAGCTAAGGCTGACCGAGCTATCACTAAGCCCGTCCCGAATATTTGCTTCAATTCCTCGAATACTGAGGTTTTTGGCCAAAACGTCAGGGTCATTGCCGTGAGCAAAGGTTCAAAGACATAATTTTCGTGATCGAGATGTAGTCGCACTCGCACGTGACAGATACAATGATCCCACAAGCATTTCGTGACGCAAAACTTCTCTGATGTTTCACTGCTACACCAAACTAGCGATGTTGCCATCAACAATGTTCACTTCGAATTCGAAAGCTTCCCCTCAATGTGGAAGCGAGTCTGGCAACCACCACTTGGGTTCTGCCAAGAACTGTAAAGTTACGAAATGCACAGAACGACGCTCAGAGTCATATGAATTAAGGCAAGATTTGCTGTTTCCTCGGAAAAGTGATTCCTCAACCCGCAAGTCTGTTTGGAGGACGTCTTTAGTACTAAGCGCGTTGACTTCCGGTACGAACAGCTCGAAGGTGAGTTCCAAAAGAATTGTTCGATGAGCTTTTGGGAATACCGCATTACAGTTGTATACCTAGGTGATTTCGAGCCACTGACGAAATTGGACCAATATATTCAGCAAAGAGTAGTTCGTCAATACACGCACTGCGGCAATAAGTGCCATTTCACTTGAAAATCGCATCACTGCTAGCGTCGTTAACAATTATACGCGTCAGCTTGTTACTTGCTACTACAATGAGCTGATGGCGTGAAATTCCCAGGACGATCGGTGCAAACAAGAATCGAAATTCTAAAGCGAGCAACGGAAATTAGAACTGGCTTGTAAACACTTGCAGCTGTGGTAATTAGCAAAGCTGCACATAAGAATTTGACGACGTCAACTGCGACGGTCGTCGACCACTTCACCGGACAGCTACCTGAACGATACCTGATCACGGCGACGATCAACAACGTCTAGACGTTTGACAGCGAGTCAAATCCAGGTGTGGTGAATCGCAGGGTAGTTGACCCTGCCGAGTCGACAGTCACCACATTGGGTCAAGTAAATGCCTCTAATTACGTACAAAGAAAACGCAACGGCACTGCCTTCGCCGGCCATGTTGCGCATCCTTTCCTGCAACCTGCAGCGCAATTGATGCTCCCTTGGCTTCTCGTCCGACCTCGACGCCAGAACAATCCAGCGACACGCCTAACAACGACAGCTAAAGACGAAACCGTAACAATCACCCATTTCACTCTTCTGCCACAACGGCAAACAGCCTACGACGAAAGTTCGACAAAACTCAATGACGATACCTTCCGAAAGGAAAAGCGAGTCTGAAACTTTCCAGACTCAAAAAAGTCGTCAACAAATCTTTTCATAACAAAGGAAAATGGTGAACACAGACTCTGAGAGAAATGTTATAATGGGACGCAGAACTGGCTCTCCATAAAAGTTATTTGGCACTGACAGTCAAACACTGCAGTGTGACAACGACACCTTGATATCTTGACATTTACGTTATCGTAGCCAAACACCGCCCACATGCCGAATCAAAACCAGAAGATAAAAGAAGTAATAGCAACGTAAACACTAAATGCAGAAAAAAATACCCCCATTCTAGAGTAACAGAATTCCGTCAACGCTGAAAAGCACTTTCTTCGCAACTGCTACCTACAATACCCTAAGGCCAGTTGGTCACGGGTTATAGCAATCACAGAGTGAGCGACAGAAAATTCATCATAAAGATTCTATGAAATTTTTTTTGAAAACTTTCTCTCACGTCTGACTTAGACATGGAGCTGAAACTACGTGTCAATTATAAAGTACAATTCTTTTCATGAAGTCAATGGTGAGGAGCTAATGCCCATTTCCATGTCATCAGCCAGAAGTGTCTTACTTTTTAAGGCAAAGTCTACAACAGCAATGCGACAAGCATATCGTGTAGTCTCCCGCTTCCTTCCCATAGAGTGGTACTCATTTATCAACCTCAGTAGAATGAAAGGCAAGTGATACCTCGTGGGCTCGAAAAACCGCGACCTCTCGGTTCAGAATGCGACGCTGTAGCGATTGAGCAACTCTGGTCGAAAGATAAAAAATAAGCAGGCTAATTATCATAATAGTAATAATAACAAAAATGACAATCCTGATGATGGTAATGATCACGATTATGAAAAATATCACTACAAAGACCGTTTGACGAAACGAAATAGCCAAATCCGAAACAGAAGACTACGTAACCACGACGAAACGCCACGCCGCATCAATGATGCGTTAAAATAAAAGAAATAAAAACAAAAACGAAGAAAAAAGGAAAGAGGAAATAATAACAGAAAAGGCAAGTTATTCATCCATCATGTCATGAATGAATAAATGAGTGAATGCATGAATGAATGAATAACAAACTTGTATACGACGTAAATACATATTCTGTCTGGATAACGAAAAGACAGTCACAACGATGAATGATGATCAGTAAATCGAAGACAAGTTTGCCGTAAGTGTTACTCGTCAAAATTCAGATCTTCAGCCCAACCGTGAACAGTGAAGATCAACTGCATATACGTTTCTCGAATGCAGTTATTTTTGCACCTATTTGCATTAACCCACGAAAAGCGTGCTAATGACAAACCTTTCGTTTAGAGTGACGATGATGTCTTTCATTTACCCCTTATTCAGTGTGCATATTATTAATGAACTATCCGATAGGTGAAGACCAAGCAAACATGGTCCTGTCTGATAAGCTCTGGCATGACTATATCAGAACATCATGGTTCTCCATTATTCGCAGCTGGTTCAAATAGAGAACAATGCGAGTGAACTGATAAATTCATTTTTAATAAAAGACATTTGTACTTTTCGAAAGTCATAGTTTCGGGTAGGAAGTTTACAAGTTGTCTACACACAGGTTTTAAATTAAAGTTATAAATATTCACAGTTTTTCTTTCATTCTACACCTTTTACGGAATTAATGACTACTGATGAATTCTGCACAAGATTTTGCATTTCAAGACAATACTATCTGTTGGGTAGGTGAAATGCGACGTTGGCCCCGTTTCGACGATGAGCTTTTATTAACTGGCACCGAATTTGTAGCCTGGCTTCGGAAACTATGATAGTAGGGGAATTCTGCTTGAGTAACGAGTAAACAAGTATAGCATGACCAAAACAATGCGATGAATTCCTCGCTCAAGGGAATTGGCACTTTAAAAAAGTTTACAATACATTCAAAGTTTCATGACAAAGTGCTAGGCGCTGTTTCCTGTGAATGAACAAGCATTGGGAAACTCGCTACGCGGCTTATTCAAGTCTTGATCCAAAACAGCATAATGACCACTACTTTCTTAACATTCGCAGACTGCACTGATCAAATATAGGTCTGTTTC